TGTAATGCCTTCTATTAAATATGTGCAGGAAAGATTTGTCAGAAACAAATCAAAGTCTCTGAACTAAAAGTTTGCAATCTGTAAATCCATCCAATGTAAATATGCAGCTTTATGTAGTCATGCTTTTCAAAAGGTAAATCATGACGCAAAGGATTAGTACCAAGCATTTGGAGGAATGATAAAGTACTAAAAACTTTACTGTAAGAAGACACAAAGAAGAGTGAGTTCTGCTTCCCTCTGCCTAATCCTCAAGGTCAAACTAGCTGCCTGCACTTTTTGAAAGACACAAACATGACAACAGTTTTATAACCAATAGATTATGAACTCCCTCTTGATGGGTGAAAAGGAGCTGTGAAATCAGATACTTCCAGCTAAACAGTCTCGGGCTGCAAAAGGCTGACAGCAAAAAAAGCAGTGCTCCATGGTTGTTACAGACACAGCACTTCCTAGCTGGTTTTTATCAGGGATTTACTGACTACCTGGCTTAAATAATTCACAAATGTGTGGAATGCTGTGGAGGAAGAAGGTGCATGGTCTGGAGTGACACAAAAGGAAACGGGAGAGGCTGTAGAAACAATATAGCGGTGCCCTTGACTGTACGTCGGGTTCCTACGTGTTGATCTAGTGCAAACACCAAGGGCTGCAGTGCTCCCTAAGTGTTGTACTTAACATAGAGATATATAGGCAAGCAGCTGTCACCAGTGCAAATAGAGGAGCTTTTTAGCAGCAGGCAACACCGCTGGGCAGTGAGGGAAAGCAGGAAATAGCTCCAGCAACCAAATGAAACGGAAACTGCAGGAGAGAGATAAAATCTTCTGAGTAAAGTCTTCTGAACTGGGATTTAGGGAGGATACTAAAATGAACATTTCAACGATAGGTTGGGGTGTCTTTAAAAGCAGAAAAGGAGTTTGCTGCAAAATAAAATGACCAGCAGCATGAGATGTCTTGATGTCAGTAGTCTTTTGGATTAGTATTGATATAACAAAGAATAGTTTTACCTCCTACTATGTAGCCAATTCATATTAAATCTTACTAAACAAGTTTCTCAGGTACACAGATATCTCAAGCATGACTTTCTTTTCCTGACTAGTATATTTTATTATTGGCTTTATTCTCCGTTACAGCATCTCACAGGTTTCACCCGAGGATGCAGTATCAATAAGCAAATTTTCCTCTGAAAGACTGTGGGTTGATCTGCCTCTTTCTTTGCTGATCCTAGTTAAACATACTGCTCTGTAATTTGCTGACGCAAGGAGGGATTGTGACTACAATGAAGTGAAAATGAGCATTAGGCACCCAAGCAACCCTAGGTCTAGTTTGTACTACTACAATGGAACAAAAATGAAAAAAATCTTATAAAGTTTTTACAGAGATTTTATTGAAATGAAATGTAACCACCCAAAGAGGATCTGAAATGTGATATCTAATCATTAAACCTTTGGAAGGCCACTAATAACCAGCATCTCTGTTCTCAGTGAACCAGTTCCTAGAATAAGAAGTAAATAGAAACCTTCCATATCAAAATGTTTTGGAAAAGGAGGCAGCTGCCCTGCACGGTCTGTGGAGCCAAGTGCTTGGTGAGAAATGTTTGGAGTCAGCACAGATGTTTAGAGTCAGAGCACGGGCTCAATGGTGAGAGAGAGAAGGTTATTTTAAGAGAAATAGATATATTTCATTTCCATTTTCTTTTTACTAATCTGGAAATGCCCCAAGATGGGTTGATTTTAGTCATACCTTTTAACTGCAATTTGAATGGTCAGACTAGAAACCTTGATTTAAGCCATCAGTTTGCAATTAGATTTGCATTTAGGCTTTTTGCATGTTGGGGACGAGGTGATATAACAAATAATAATAATATATAATAATAATAAATAGCTAACATAAATAGCTAAATAATAATAGCTCTTTATGCCAACTGAAAGAATACACTATGTATACACTTAAGTAATCACAAAGCTTAAGTGTCTTAAGTGTCACAGAGCCTAAAGCTTAACTTTCTACACTTATATGAAAAATGGGGAATGATGCATTTCTTTCTAGGTAGCATTACATTACTCAGTAGTGTATAAGGGTGGATTTTGGTAGAAATGGGTGTCCATTTAAAATACACCAATCAGCATTTTAAAGGAGTTCTGAAGTCAATTAAAAATTAAATGTGATGAACGTAAAAATAGGTTTATCAAAACATGATTTTTATTGAAAGCTAGTTGATTTATAAAATAGAGGAACCATAACATACGGAAAATTCCCTGATTTTTTTTCTCCTTGCATTTCAGATTTACAACTAGAAGATCTTATCCTTTGCGTTTATTTTTAAAGTGATATCTTACTAATCCTTTTACAAAGTATATGATTTGGAGGATTAGATCCAAAACTGCAAGACTAAAAAATCAGAACCCTAAAGAGAATGCAGTGTCTGCCACTATGTTTGTGATTTGCTCATTTGCTTAGAAATTAAACTACTTTTGTAAATTCAGTGAAGCTAATTCATTTACAATTGCTGAAAAATAAGTGGAGTCTTAACAACTTATTTACTTCTATTTCAGGAAAATTACAGAACATTAATCAAGACCAGAACTAGGTTGCCTTTCAAGTTGTACAAGTATTATTGTGATCTGGAGCAACTATACTGAAATGTATTGCTATCAGGCAGCAAGATAAGAGAGGCAAAGAATGTTTTTCATAGTGAAGTTCTAAGTGGTATTAATTATTTGTAGCATCTTTTTTCAGTCGAACCAAAGTATATAGTTTATAATAAGCATTCTCTCCATATTTAACGCTAGATATTTTTTAATCATGGAGAAGTAATTGAAAGTCCTCTGAAAATATAAATTATAACAAAAGGAAATGTGTTCAGAAAAGTTTTAAAGACACACTCTTGATGTTCCAGCTGGTTTTAAGACAGCTATTTGTCTTATCAAAGCTATTTATTCAGACTTCTTTTCTGCGTTATTTTGTCTTTTATTTCTCGGTTCTCTTTTTCTTTTCTTTCTTTCTCTCTTTGTTTATTTCAAAATACTGCTGTCATACTGGTTTCCCCTAAAGCCAAAAACAACCTACCACAAGTGACTGATGTAATGACAGTGGGCGTCGTACGGTGGTGGCTGACACAGGGAATTGCTGATGAGGGCAATGCAGAGCAAAGCACCAGCGTTGTGGCTAACGCCTGCAAAACAGATTCTGCATTGAATGCTTCAAGTCAGTGACTCGAAGAAGTTCGTGTCTGGGGAAATACATGATTTGTCAATCCCATTTACCTTCTAGCACCTTGGAAAGAGGTGCCCTTCAATGTCTTATTTAGGACTCCTGTTAAAATAAAGGCATTTGACCTTTTCACCTTGATGAAGTTCAACAAATGTAACTAGCTTCTGTTCATACAAGTCTGCCTTCTGCTTCATTTTCATTAGCATTTTGTCAAAGAATGCCTTTTTTTTTCTTTTTATAGTGAGCTGTTTCTGAACACAAATATTCAGTATTTATTTAGAATAGAACATATCATTTTTTCTTTCTTGAAAAAAAAACCTCTGTGCTCTTCGGTTCGTCCTGATAAAGCCCATACCATTCACACCTTTTCTAAGCCCGTCCACGTTGTGCTCTCCTAATCTCCCTTCGCGCAGCCTCCAGGCTGTTGTGGTGCAGCTTGTCTGCTGCTTGCTGGCAGCTGCCCTCAGGCCGATGTGTCTGCGGGAGAGATGGGCGGTAGCTCTTAGCGGGCCTCCTTTCACCCCGTGTGTGCAGCTCAAGATTTGGGAAACATTATGTAAATGTAGTGTGTTATGTGAGGGACTTCTAATAGTGCGGTGCTTTATGGCACGCTCCCATGATTAAAAGCCTTGCTTTGTCTTTTGCACCAGGAGAAGAGCAGACGTCTGAAAGATGTCTAAAAAAGAACATAATTATAATAGACTTTGTGTTTGTTTTGATGTTTCTATTTAGGTATTGACTCCAGCGCAGATAAAATCCATTTGCCTGGCCATATTAGAGTCGGGAAAGCAATATGCAGTGAAGAAGAGGAAACCATTCCCGCTCATGTACTCCTACTATGGGACAGAGTATCTGGGTGAGTAGGAAAGACCAACTGCTGTGTAAGTGATGCAGCGCTCTGATGCTTTGGCAGCGAACACTTCAGAGATCAAATATATAAAACATTCTGCGTGGGATTCATTGCCTCTGAGGTTGGACTTTTTCCTTTCCTCAGAGTAGTGTTTCTAGCCATCTTTTTTTCCCTCAACGGAGAACAGGGCTCAAACTGGTCAGCTCCTACCTGGCAGGAGCAGCTTAGTTGGAGCTCATCTGAGGCAGTGGTGACAAGTCATTGCACAGGTTCCTTGTGGGGTCCTTGAGGTACAGGATCACAGCGCAGGAGGTGTGAGATGGGGTTGCAGACGTTAGTGACAGTGCAGTGACAATGCGATACTGCTCCACAGATGCTGGCAGGTGCACCCAATTCTTGCCATGAACTTCAGGTTTCAGCTAGTTGTTGTGCTGAACTCGTAACTGGAAACATATTTTATGGTCCAGGTTCAGTCTAGCTTCAACAAAGACCTCAGAAGAATGGTTCAGTTTCAAGTCTGTGCCTAAAAAATGACATCTCGAAACATCTTTCATTTTAGGTTCAGTTCAGCTTTGTGATTCAAGTCACTCATACCATAGTGAGAGCATACAAAATTCATGTGAAATTTTGCTTAATTTGAGGAGTGGAAAAGGCAGAGGTGGTACCAAATCATAGTGTCATGCACCTAAGATACTTCAGGACATAGAACCTAATCGTACCCTCTCTTTCTCACCTCTGTTGCTGTTCTTTCCAGGTGCAGCCCATGGGCTTTCCTCCATCCTTCAGATGTTGCTCTCCTATTATGAGTACCTCCAGCCAGCAGATCAGGAGCTTGTGTGGCAGAGCGTTGACTTTCTCATGGATCAAGAGCAGAACAGCAACTGGCCGCCGGAGCTGGGAGAGACGATTGAGCGGGAGAATGAGCTTGTCCACTGGTGTCACGGAGCTCCAGGTTCTTTTCAAACTGATGCTATGAAACAGGCAGATGCTGATCATGTTGTTTTTCCACGTTAGGTGATTCCATGTAGAAGATAAGTCAGGTTAAATTTGTCTGATTTTGACAGTTTACGGGAAGCTGGCAGATTTTTTTTTTTCTTGCAGTTAGGAGTCATTTATTTATTGCTGAAGCAGCTGGAAAGGCAGATGTATCTTTGACTTTAAAAGCATATGTGATCATAGCTGAATGAATTCTGCCTGGTGATCTGTGTGATCCTTTTGTTCCACACTCTTGCTCCCTTGAGTGACAAGGCTTTGAAGAATGGTACAGATGAGCTGAACGGCAGCATATGGCCCAATGGAAAAATTGTGTACAAAGCTACACAGGTGCAGATACACCTGTGAGTTTTGGGAAAGCCTTTAGAAGAGTTTCTGCCCCTGCGCTTACCAAAATGCAGGTTTAAACCTGCAGGTATTACACAGATAATGCAGAAATCAGACTCTAGAGAAGTTTGTGGTAGCATGAGCCTCTTCTTTCTGGAACTTACCCATATGCAACTGCTTTTGAGACAGAAGCAGAGTTCTTAGTTTGGGCTGATGAACCAAGGGTGATGTCTGTTAGATGAAAATCTAATTCTGTAGCCAAGTGATTTTGGCAAGCAGTGCTGTATGTTGAGACACTGTTTTGCCGCTGGGCAGAATTTGGTAGCTAACGAGTCATGATTCTGTAACCTGAACCTCCCGGGTTACAGGAAAGCTGACTTCAAGGGTGTTCATGAGCATTGGTGCATTGCTGTTAAAGATGCTCAATTTAAATTACAAAAGTACCTCATTGTACTAATTGTTCATTCTGCTGATGCTTTATCTTTTTCTTGGTATGATTAATGAACAAGCTTCTTGCTCTTACATTCTGAATGGAGAACATTTTTTGTATAATGATTTTTTAAAAATTATTTTTAAGAGGAGGAAACTTGACTTGTGGGAGACCTGGCCAAGTGAGGCAATGCTGGGGGAGGATGCCCTCCTCATCCTAGGATCTTGAGAGTGGCCTTTGCCTGGGTTTAAGTTGCTGCCGACAAAAGCAGTGAGACGGAACCAAGGTGACAAAATCCCAAAGGCTATTATAGAAGAGACATTTTAAAGTTATTTAAGTTAATTAAATGTTATTGTTCTCTCCTATAAAATCTATTCTGTTCCACAGGTAATATTCTGTTCATGGGTAATAAAACTCAGGTAGTTTACAAGAACATTTTTCAGCTGCTCCAGTGTATGTTCAGACCACAAGTGAGCTGTTTTAAACATTTCCCGAGGGACTTGATTTGGTTGTATGTCCTATGAATGCTTTTGACATTACATTGTACAGCTGTGCAATTTTGATTTCGGAGATTATGATTAATACATTTGAATATTTTCTTAAATAAGTGAAGGAACAAGAATTCAAACCCACTAGGAGACAGTGCTAAAAGCTTACTGTTTTAAAGGCAAAAATATGACTCCTGTTTTAAATTGTTGAAGGACTGGGAAAGTTAGAGTAAACCCTGAAATTAAGTCATGCACTGAGAGGATTGAGAGTGGTATTGTCAAAGATAGTGGCTAAGTATATCTTACTGCATGCTTTTGGTGTACCAGATGGCATATGCCTGTATCTAGCATAGAGACATGTAATACAGGCATGTATAGGGCACGAGACCACATTTTCTGATGTATTAATTTTGCATTTTCTTACGCATTCTTTTAAGCCCTTGGCTGTACTTATTATAAAGGACAATTTCTCTGCTATCTTCTAGGCATTGCATACCTGTTTGCCAAAGCTTACCTGGTTTCCAAGAAGCCTCAGTACCTGGACACTTGCATCCGCTGTGGAGAGCTGACTTGGCAGAAAGGCCTGTTAAAGAAGGGACCAGGGATCTGCCATGGGGTGGCCGGTAGTGCCTATGTGTTCCTGCTCCTATACCGGCTCACTGGGAACTCCAAATACATTTACAGGGCCCAAAAGTTAGTTCCTTCCTACCTTCTGCATGTAAGGCAGTAATCCCAAGTTTCAAGAACATTTAGGGGACTGGTCAAAATCTGTGATCACAACCCTCTGATGAATCGCAAGTGTTTAAAACTCTCATATAATTCTGTTTCTTGGAGGTTCCGTCTGATTCGTGGGGCAAATGCACTTTGCAGAGTGCCCTGAAGTTCTAGTTTGAGGATGTCCAAAGCTTGATTTGAGTTCATCTTGGCTCCCTTCCTGCCCACAAGCCTGGGATTTTTCTAAAGGAAATCTGGGTGGGTGGGTGGAAAGGAGTGTTGCACCTACCGGTCTCCTCATACTGGGAGGTCAGCCAAGTTGCATACCCAAGCCCAGGAGCAGGATAAAATGAGATATTGTTTATTATATTGATTCATCTTGATTTTCAGAGCATTTGACACTGTCCCTACTAAAAGTGGCAAACAAGGTTAGGACTTCCTTTGCTGTGTACTTTATAAACACAGCTCTCACCCCAGTCTTAACCAGATGAGCATTGTGCTGTTCATCTTACTTCAATAATTGTGCCACATTGCAGCAGATATCTTTAATTTATATTTCTGTGATTTACTTTACATGTTCAAAATGAAGGCATTCACTCTTCATAACTGTTTTTCTTTCAGCATAGAATAATGAGGAGAAATGGTGTGGTAATTAGGGAGACTTATTTTCAGGAAATTGTTTTGCAGTAAGAACATTTCATTTTAGTTATTCCAGCACCACACAATTTGTTGCATCAATACAAAACATTGCCTGAATTCCACTAAAATAATAACCGGTCTAAAAGTTATCAATAGGGTAAACAAATGTTTAATGAGATGTATTATAGAGACATAGAAAAAAAGTTTATAGCTCTTAAAGAAGCACAGCACATGTACAGACTGCTAAGCTTCTGCCCTTCTTGAGCTAGTGATGTCGGCTTAGTGTGGAAGACAGCACAAATTTGCAGATAAGGTTAAAAAACAAACACCCTATTTTTAAGTTGTTGATAAAATGATGCTTTCAAACAATGAGTAAGCAGATATACAGGCATGCCAGACAATAAGAAGCTTGCTTTGTTTTTCTGTTTCCTAGGTTCGCGGAGTTCTTATTCACAGAAGAATTTAAGGCTGGCTCCCGGGCCTTAGAAAGCGTATACAGTTTGTACGAAGGCTTCTCGGGGACTGTGTGTTTCCTGACTGATTTGCTGCAGCCCAACCAGGCCGAGTTCCCTCTCTTCAGCGTCTTTGTGTAGCGGGCAACAAGCTCCAAGGGCTCCCGGCGACACGAGGGGGCACCTGCAGTTTCACCCATCTGCCCGGAGAGGTTCTTTACGAAACAAGCCAGTGGCACCACTAATGCTAGCCTTAATGTCACGTGGGGCAGGCGAAGCAGGAAACACATGGGGGCTTGGGGAGGGAAGCGTGGGGCTGGGGAAAAAAAAAAGTTGTTCAGTGAAAAAAAAAGGGGGGGGAATGACTGAATTTGGTGGGGGTCAATATTTAGCTGTAATAAGAAGCAAAAATCTAATTATTCAAGTGAGAGGGAAAGGGGCATTATGCGACTTTTAATGTGGTGATTACATGAGGGGGGGAAAAAAGCAAGACAAACTTACAGGAACATGCAAGAAAAAGAATTAGGTGATATATCCAGTGGGTTTTAAGAAGAGGCCTGAAGAAACAAATCTTTACGCAGCAATGCGCTGGCAGAAGGAGGGTGGCCTAGATATGTCACTACACTGCACAAAGGCAAAACCCGGCAATTTTTACATAAACTCCATTTACTTGTACTAGAAACGTGTTAAAAATACCCGTATCTTGGAGCTCTTTCATCTTCCTATGCGTGTAATGGTAGCTGTACAGTAGTTGTGTAGTCAGTCTGCAGCTTCACGGGTGCTTTTCAGCTGGCGGGTTTCAGGTGTGCGCGAGAGGTGAGTCTGAGCTCGGCCTGGGGCAAGGAGCTGGTCTCCTCAGCGGCGGCGCTTCTTACCCATGCCCCGCTTCCAACGGGGAGGTGCACAGAGCTGTGCAGCAGGCCTGGATTGGGAGGTTTTGTAGCAAAGATGCAGCAGGTAGATGCTTTCTTGCCAATACAGCATTGCTAGATAACTATCGTTCAGCAATACAAAACCTTCCTTTAAATAATCATTTCCTATAGCAGGGTTTCTGAATAATAATATGGATTGCACAGAGTAGAAAAACCATGTTCGTCATGAATTGCTCAGCACAAACCCTGCAAATTGTAGGTGAACTTTTGGTGGCCCAGAGAGCTTAAGAAAATCCTGGTAAATTGCTCAAAATTGCTTCTTTCCTTGGTCAACAAAATTATGCATACACCCAAATGATTTGTAGCTGTAGAAATACAAGGTTTGCTCAACACTAGTTGCACTAGCACTTAAGGTTGCAATTATATCCTATTTTTATATACATTATAGATATATGATACAATAATTGAAAGCTAAAGAATATAGGTCTGTACTCAGAAAGCTATAAAGGCAAATATATGTATTTAAAATATACTTAACTATTTATTTATTTATTTTTATTTATACTGGAATACTGGAATACAGTTACTTTTAAAGACATATTGGGAAGAATGGTGGGTCAAAAATTGCAGTTAGAGTGAAAAAAAAGGACCTACATGCACTGCTAACATTGCAGCCTCTCTCCCTATGTTCTCATCTGGAGGAGAATCCAACTTGCTTTATTTTTAATGCCTAATCCATTAGAGAGCTCACTCGGTTCCAGAATGGAGTCAGGTCTTGCAGTCCTTCTACATTTAATATAGTAATCCCATTCCTACCTGTGCCACTGTTATTTTAATGGGATCGCTTGCCTTATTATGAGCTACAGATGAAGATTTCTGCTATTTAGTCTTGCATTCTGTGGCTCTAGTTAGTTACTTCAGCCCAGGAGTAACAACATTTCGTTGGTGAATAAAGCAACACCGTTCAGTATAAGTTTCTCAAATACTTAGGAATCTTTTGATGAACAGAAGTGTTAAAGTTCAATATATGGTGGTTACAAGTTGTTTATTCTGGGGAGTTAACGATCTTTTAAGACAGCCACTTAGATTCATTAAGCTGAGCGAGGAGATGTGCTCACCTAGGAGTGCCCATTTCATTGGGTGAAATACTGATTTCATGTACATGACGTTAAATCCAAAGTCAGTGGGAAAGCTCATAAGCTTTGCACAGCCATGTTTTAAGGCTCCTGTGAGACCACAGCAAAATCCATTTTCAGTGAGACAGATTCTAAGTCCATTTGGATTTTTGTCTACTTGCTGTAATTTGGATAGTGAATATATTTCATAACTGGAACCTTTTTAAACAGATGGCTAAGGAAGGTAAAGCTTTTGGCCTATGCACTTTGCCCTGTGATCCACAGCTTTTCAATCTAAACTGGAGGGTTCTGCTCTGATCTGGACTCAAGGCTGCTGTAATCCTACACATATTACAAGTCATTTTATCTACAGATGCATACTTAAAAAAAAGAGGCCAAGTGTTTTGATAACTAAACAATCAGAAAATAACTCCCAGACTTCCGCCTTAAAAGAATCCGTGCAGACCAGCACAGCAATCATCACCTTTTGATTTTGTCTCCAGTGCGTATTCTTAAATTTTCTGAGACACAACTTTTAATTGTACCCAGTTAATTATTTCTCAGGAGGTGCCTGAAGGAGATCTCTGCCAAAACCTCAGTAAATGTAGAGCACAATAAATATATACAGTAATATCGACCCCGACCAAACCAAGAGTACTCATACTGTAACACAGAAACCACCTGTATGTTACAGTGTACAATAACAGTTGTTAAGATCACTCTGCTTTATTATGATTAACTTCCAACAGTCATATTGGGATTTATCTTTTAATGTAATTCTTCACAAATGGCAGGAAAGTTATGTTAAGAATTCAGCATCAGGCTTCTGGTGGTTTTCCTGCTGTCTCTTTATGGAATGAATTCCTTCTGGTTTCCATTCAGAGAAGGATCTCATTTGCTCTGTGTTGTCCTCTAAAGCACCAGCAAAACAATCTTCTCTCCTCTTCCTTCTGTATGCAATCCTTCGTGTTGTGTTTGGCTTCCTCTGATACAAATCCTGTGAGAAAGAGGAGAGTTCCTGTGTTCTTACCCATTGAGCAACGAGAAAGGCGATGGCACCGCCTGGTTTCCAAACCCAAGTCCCAAGCAGAGCTCTGCAAGTCTGTGTGAGCCTGGCCCTGCCTCCAGCAAGAGCAGCGTGCAAACTTTGGCTGTAGGGCATAAACATCTAAGGCAGAAATCTAGTCTCTTGAAATACATCGTATAAAATCTTGCGGTGTACCTGGTGTTATTCATCAGCTTCAACAGGCAGTGCTTTTGGTACTGTGAATTCATTCTTACTGCTTCATGGCTTTATTTACCTGACCTAGCTGGATTATGGTGGTTGCGTTGAGATGTACTGTAGTTAGATAGACTTCTGACACACTTATAAAACACCTTTGGGCTCTCCTGAAAATGCTAACCATTACCTAAATGTGGTTCTTTTTATTTTTTCCTCCTCTTAATCTTCTACACTTTTTCCATTTACACTATTTTAAACATATGCTGTTGCAACTTTTATTTGTTGCTTTTAAGACACAAAAGCAACATGAGTAGAGCCAGAAGCACTTTTCAGCGTGATTAAAATAATAAGTAAGCTCCTTTACGTTCCCTCCTTACTGCTCCAAGATATTACTTATGCAACCTTTGCTAGACATACCCAGCTGGAGCTACTTCCTCCTGCTCCAGCATCAAGCCCTAACAGACTGAAAAACTGTATGTCCGAGCAGATTCTGCCATGGTGCTGTGACAAAGGACTCTGTTACCACAACCTGGACAAGCCTCTTTGAGAGTGTAAAACACAAGCTACTGAATCTTGTTTGCACATTAGTCTCTTTACTGTGTTTGGTTTCTAAAGCGTAGGCCATAGAAATTTAGGCAATACAGTAGGGATTAGGCTTCTAAAGCAAAGAGGATGCGTTTTGTGCGGGTATTGGTGCTTTTTTGTGATGTCCTTGTGCTCGTATGTTGCTCTTTGTGAGTAAAGCTGTAGATTTACAAATCATCTTAAGGAGCTATATACTAATCATGACTGTTGGTAGGTTATCCACAGATTGATGACATGGAACACTTTTGAGGGAAAGTAGATCTGTAATGTCAAGATTTAAGGATTTCAGGATTCATAGAGCCAGATGCAATACATGTTCCAGCAACAGTACAGTTCTAACACATACCTTATTTTTTTTCCTACCATTCACAGCTTCTTAGGATCAGAATATATTTGTTTTGTGCCACTGGTTTAAATATCTGCTTTGTTTCCATCATGTTTCTTCAGCTTCCCCTCTTTTCCTTCCCAATCTCTGAATTATTTCACAAGGATGAAGAGACAGCCGAGGCCTTTGGCTGTCGAAAATGAGACAGATTAATTTTATTTAAGAGTAGTTGTCTACTTACATGACATTATTTTTACACTTCTGGCCAGTCTCTTTTCCCTGATAAGTAAAAATTATTATACAGTTAAGAACTGTCACTGCTGTTTTGCATGATTGGATGAAACACAAGAGTGGCTTTCTAGGAACTGTGCTCACTTCTCGAGTATCTCAGTTCTGTTATGACAATCAAAAGTAATTGAGTAAATCTGCTAAACATCCCAAAGTATATGTTTAAATAATTCTGGAAAATATGCACAAAGGAATGCAGGTAAAGTGATCATGCTTTTCATTACTCTGTGTAATTAAGTAATGCCACTTTGGTGTTCTGATATTCTTTACATGGACATGCAGAGAATATAATAAGATTATAGATTATTTTTCAAAATATTACCAAGAAAATAAATGTGGGTAACCGATGTGTTAAAAAACATACAAGTGAAATAGGTACAAATGAAAAATTTCATAAGCTATCAGATTTTGTAGGCAAATCACTATTTGCATAGGTAGTTACAGCCTCTGCCAACATACTGCGTGTTGTTGGCGAGCAATGCCCTATGTTAGCACACGCAGGCATTTTGAAAAAATATCCTTGTTACTCGTTTTGAAATCCTGACCTCTAAAATCCGTGGACAGAATGGGTCTCTGAGGTTGGCCATAGAAATCTCAGCTCTGGTGATTTTTTCCTACCTACCTTGAAAATCTGCTGGCATGTGTACATTTTCTAAATCATAGCAAGATTAGCATATGAGGGCTAAGAATTGCTGTGTAGATTTGAAAGTGCAAACTTCCTGTAAAGAACTACA